AACTCCCAGAGCTTCCAGAACGTGAAGAGGGCGAGGGAGAAGAAAGTGAACTTCAAAATGCAGCTTTCAGTAACTGGAACCAGCCCAGAAAGTAAGTGCAGATTCTAGTTGCACTGAAATTCAAAGATTCTGAAACTTGTAATATGTTTTGAGAGGAATAAGAAAACAACAGAATTGCTATGCTTATGCATATTGTGCATTGCAGGAATCATTAACTGTTCATTTTTACTGCCATTGGGCTAAATCTCTGCAATCTAGCAGTTTCTTGATTGCTTTAGTAATTTATAGGCTGACTCTCTGGGAGCCAGATAGAAGACATGTAGAGAAGGATTCAGTTTTGATTAGAGTCCACAATAAAGTGAACAGCAGTAGACACAATTACAGACTTTGAGCAGTTCAGTCGATAACTCCTTACAAAACTTTCCAAGAAGGAGTTATTTCTGAAAGTGAAAGTTATTTCTGAAAGTGAAGCTACTGTGCAAATCCAGTTGTCTTCAGTGTGCAGCATTGTCATAATCACAACAGATTTTCATTTATTTTTGTCCTTGTTTTGTCACAACAGGGTTGAACTCTGGAGAGAGCCTAGCAAGTCACTGGGGATCAGCATTGTTGGAGGGCGAGGGATGGGGAGCCGCCTGAGTAATGGAGAAATGATGAGAGGGATATTTATCAAGCACATCCTGGAAGACAGCCCAGCTGGCAAGAATGGAACGCTGAAAACCGGAGATCGGATTGTGGAGGTACTAACCAAGTGCCTTGTGCTTGCAATACTCTCAGCATCTCGGGAGTCACTGAGATGGATTTGTGGTCCTGGGCCGAAAGCTGTGTAATTACTCCAGCTGGCACTACTTGAGCCATATAGAGTGTAGTACCATCTGCTGATGTTCATGTGCAGACAGCTTTAAGTTGAATATACAACCTAAAGTGTAGATAACTGACTGTGAGCAGGAGTCTACAAAGCCAGCAGTTCTGTTTGCCTGTTTTAAAGCCAGCGCATGTAGGAAAAAGCTTAAGTTTGGTGATACTCAAATGTTTTACCTTTGCATATTGGATAGCAACAGAAATGGACAGTGAATAGCAAATCATGGAAATAAATGCCAAGCTTACTTCCATCTTAAATCTTAATCAGATATCTTGTTTTTTCTGCAACACAAGAAACTAGGAGCACAGGTGCAGGCGAAAATTAAAAAACAGTTAATGTAAACACTACTTGCAAGAACCAAAACATCAGTGCACTATCAACATTCTTCTCAGCATGAATCCAAAACAAAGTGTCACTGGCTACTATGAAGAAAAGAATTCTGTCCCAGCTAAAGCTATAATACTAACTTGTTTTCACTAACTCGAACACTGCAGTTCTCTCACAAATGCAGTTCTGCTGAACAGAAAAATGGAATTCCATGGTTCAGTCCTAGTAAAACCAGGACATCAGATCACATCATTCTTGTGCATCTTGTACAGAAATTAAGGGAGACACTTTTTTTTAAAAAAAAGAAAGGCTGGATTTGGTACTGAGAAGGTTAAGAGCGTATGTATATGTGCCTTAGGATAGGGTAGCCAGTGGTGTTGCAGGGAGGAATTTATCTGGATTTCTCTTCTGCTTAGCCTGTGCTCATGCAGTCACTTATGCTTTCTCACTTAAAGATACTGAAGAATGAACATACTGAAAGGAGTATGTCTTTCCTGTGGTGATTATCAGTAAGTCAGATATTACCACCACATAAAAAGCAGGGTGATGGTGATGCTTCCGCTGAATCAGACTGAACATGCTTTACATGATGATAAGTGCAGTTTACTGTCTGCTACAATATCCATAAAAAGGATCTTGAATTAATACTTTAGTATATATAGCACTTTCTACAACAGGATGGAAGAGTTTCCAATGTGTAACAACTTAGGAGGTAAAATTTTGCTTGATGGCCACAAAGTTCAAAAACATTCATTATAATCTGAATACCTGTTTTTTATGATGGCTGTGATTGTCTCTGACAATGATGCTTGCAGAAGTTGAAGTGGGTGACTGGAATTAAGTCATTAATGTTGTGTTAATGTGACTGTTTCGGAATGGATTGTTTCAGTTTCTCAAGTTGTTGCATATCAAGGCTTTTCTCTCTATTAGTGCGTGCAGTATTTCAGACATGGGGAGTTGGAGAGCCTTAGTATTACTGTTCAATTCCTTCTAGGTTTAGAATTTTCTCTCTTAGGTTGTTTTTGTTCTCTCTTGATTTACATGGGATGGTTAAGTTTAAGGTAGAGTTAGACAATGAAAAAGGTAGGAGTAATCCTCGGCATATAACTTTGTGTGCAAGAATTGCTACTAACAGATAACCTTTCTGTGTTAGCTTCTAGCTTTTACTGTGGTCATTGTGAGAATGCTTTATTCATGCTAACCTCACCATAATGTGGTTTTTACCTGGATTGTAAAACAAACTGTTCTCCACACCAGTACATATGAAGGCACGAAGAACAGCAACTAGGCAAAAATTTGTCCTTAGCCATCCTTTGTAAATGCTTTCTTCTAGAAGAGAGAGAGCTTTTCAGCTCTGACCTAAAAATTTAACTTAGGGGCAAAGTGTCTAGTAGCCAAAATTGGTCTTAATTTGCTTTAAAAAAAAAAAAAAAAAAGATGAAAAGAAGGGAAAAAAAGTACACATAATACCCCATAATGAAAGACACACCAGCACCTAACAAGTTTCAGTTTGTAAATCTCATAAAGTCGTGGGAGATAGGTTATTCCAAGGTAGGATTTACAGGAAGTAGTATTTGGCAAACGCTTCCACTCTCTTTGAATTGCCTTACCTCCTCTTATTGTCATATCTCTTCCGTTATATTTCCTGTGGGAAAACGTATGGGGCCTGAACCAAGAATGCTGAAATACCTGTTTTCAAAACCATGGAGAATTATTTATTTGAAGTCCTTTCAGTGCTTTTAGAAATCTCTGTGTGTGAGGGACCATGGGCCAAGTAGGTAGAAACCTTTCCAACAGTAATGAAGGTTTGGGCTTAGGTTTTAGTTGCAGTTCCCTAACCAAAACCCAAAGCTGACTCATGATTCTTGTAGCTTCTTGCAACGTTAAGTTCAGGCCTTCCAATTACAGGTGGATGGAATTGACCTCAGAGATGCCAGCCACGAACAAGCTGTGGAAGCCATACGGAAGGCGGGCAATCCTGTAGTCTTTATGGTACAGAGCATTATAAGCAGACCAAGGGTAAGCATAAAGAATATGAGAAGAGATGTAATACATAGTAGTAGTAGATGAAACAAATGGTGGTGTTTGGGAATGATATATTTAAACCTAAAAGTTCCATTTCAGCTATTTTAGAAACAAAGATTTGATTTAAATGTTATTTCCATTTAGAATGAAATCGATTTGGATTTGGAATTACCCTCCAGCACGCCGTCCTCAAACTATTTTGAAAAGCTTCAAGAAAGATAATTTGCTGGGGGGCAGAGTAGGAGTCTTAACTAAAACCAACTGTTAGAGATTAACAGCATGTCTGAGGAGCGCATGCAGAAATACAGCACCTGTTAAAACATTCATTGGACATTAATGAAAGGACCTAGAAGTACACGGAAGTTTTCTGTCACTAAGCTGTATGGACATTGCAGACAAAGGCTACTGAGCTTTAATATAAGTTGCTTGCATCACTAGAAACTAAACTTCCGCATTGTAGAGTCTGTGTAAGCCGCGTGTTTATTTACTAGTTGTCTCATAACTCTTGTTCCCCAGCCAATGTCTCTTTATAGCCCTTCTTCAGCTCCTGCTCCCTGTGGGCAGGAAACTACTAACCCATTTTATCATCAGTCATCTAAGGTAAAGTTGCATGGAAAAGCTCTATTGAATGTTGGTTATTGATACTCAAGCTGCTAAAAAAGGCTCTTTGCATTTGCTGTGATGTGAACAAAATTACCACTGCTGAATGTTTAGGCCAGTTTGGGATGGGAATGATGCCATTACTTTATCACAACTTACTTCTATTTAGAGAATGCTCCTTTGCTATTTTTAATTGTAGTTCTTTGTTAACTTTGTTTTCCAATTATTAAGCTTGTTTATTAACTGTTTATTAACAAACCTATGTTTCTCTGTAAGCAGAAACGTTGCAAATGCTCTTACTGTACACGTGCTTTTTGTTGTGATCTTTGTACATGGCATTATATTTATTGTCTTCATCTTTTGAAACTTGCATCTGTACTCTAAAGATCTTATAAGGGAATTTCCTGCCTTCATTCATGTGCAGTCACCCAGGTAGCTAGATGCCTGCTCAGAGTAGCTGTATTAAATATGGTACCACTATGTATTAAGCATGACAGTCAGTTTCAAGTGACACAAAATCACAGAATCTTAGGAGTTGGAAGGGACCTTGAAAGATCATCTAGGCCAATCCCCCTGCCAGAACAGACACGTTGCTAATGAGTCAGTTTCTTCCTCTTTGTTTTCTTCATTCAGGCTGCTGTAGCAGTTAAAGAGATCCTAAATGTACTACAGAATACCCCAAATAATGCAAATAGGCCGTGAAAAGCTAGTTAATAATTTTGCCAGCAAACAGTTATTCATTAAATCTCTGTTTCATACTGGTAATGCTCTGGATATTTCTGATTAAGAGTTAGACAATCACAATGGTTGTGGTCGTAGATCATTTGTAGGATTACAGCAGTATGCTATATGGAATGCTAGCTAGTTTCTGCTATCTTAGCATCCTGGACACACGAATAAAATGCTGAACACAAGTTAGTTGTAAAAAGAAAAAAAAAAGGTAAAATAAATCCTGTTATTTTAGATTTTGTTTTGCAAAAACCAGTAAAAATACCTTTTATTACAGCGTTTGCTTTTCTTGTCCTTAACTGCAAGAAAGTATGCTTCATGCATACTATTTAAAACCTAACTGTTTAGACAAACTCAAATGCTTCATATTTTATTAAGGTAGACAGTCCGTATAAATACAGTACTGTTGCATGGATTAGAATTTGAGTTAGCAGTGGTATTTTTAGGTGTTGTGCCATCATGACAAAATAAAGAAGGCAAGATTTTTAATTACTGTGTCTGATAATTTGTTTTCTCTTTTACTAGGATTTCAGTGTTCATATACAGAATATTGGTGATGCTTATTTTAGTTACTTAAAATTTCATTAAGATACAATTTAAAATTTTACGCGAATGACAAATGTAATGGTTAAAGTATAAGAGGATCATTACGCTGGCACATTATTTTCCCAAACATCTTTATAAAAGACAAAATCAAATGTGAAGCACATATGTAAAGAGAAAATCTTTTACTATAGGGAAGCTGCCTGTTGACTTTGAGTGACTTACCAGTGAAGAAACCTTGTTCATGCACAGCTCTGCTTTCTCATCGCTGAAGATACTGTAGAACCAAGACATAGGTTGTCTTAGCAAATTACATTATTTTTTGTTTTGCAAAATTATGTTTGAAAATAAACATTAGGGATGCATTTTCTATTTTTAGAAGCATTTAAAAAACCAAAATGCTTTAAGAAATTTTTTAAACAGCAGCATATGTCTGGGTTAAATTACTGCAATATAAGTGTATCAGTTGGTGCTGCAAGCCTTTCACATTCCTTTCCACTTAATATGCTTCTTATTTTCCAGTAGTGTTAAACTTACAGCTCTAAGACATTTAGGCAATTGCAAATACACCTGGTGCAGAAATTACTTTTAAGTATATGTTGAATAGTTTTTCCAACATAGTACACAAAATCAGAAGTGTCTCCACTTTATTAAACAGTTTTTGATCTCACAGTACAGTAGAAAAACTGAATGAGGAATATAAATGGTCAAATTACATCCTTTAATTTTGTCTAAATATGAACATGAATATGAATTTTTATCTAAATATTCTTTTTGTGATAAATAATAATAAAGAATTACATTGTAGTATTTAAGGAGAAGACCAGATAATTTAGTTTCATTAAACTATGAATTCAGAAATTTACAGATGCATGCACATACAAAGTGATCTGTAAAAGTTGTTAGATATGAATTCTGTTTAGACATACATAATATTACTAAACCTTCTCTTTTGGGAAATACACAAGTATATTACCACAACAGGTGTATCAAAGTATGAGAATTAATCTGAGATTTTCAAAATAAAAGTATGTCTACTGCATTATTATAAAGAACTGTGTTTATTTTAATCCAGAAATCCACAATTTTATAATTAACTAATGTGTAAGAGTATCCCGTATGCTGAGATGCCTGGATAAAATTATACAGGTAGCTCAGCAATTATTTTTAAGTTGTTCTTACGTCTGAATTCTGCACATCACACTTTGTGGGCTAGAACAGGTATGAGAATTGGTGCTTTTCCTCTACGCTCTGCTAAATGTAGCTGATAACAAACATTTATCCTCGCAAGTCTGTAACAAAGTGCAGGAAGCAGACTTTGGTTGGTTAGCACAGACTGCTGAAAAATATGTTTTGTTTCATGAGTCACAGAGGGTTCATTTAAAAATGGTTTTGCTTAGTTTCTATTGTGTTTTCCTTTTAGAACCCTTCTCTGCCTTTCCCACAGAGTAGTCTTTTCTGTAGATCTTCAGTAGCACTAACCCATTTGCTGATTCTTCTCAGTTCAACACTAAGAAGGCTGGATGATGACACACTGTCTGCTTTTGACTTACCAAACATTATACATGTGCTTCTTTGCCCTTAGTGTCTCTCTGCATTTAAATTCTTTGTACCAATTTGGGTAAAATACTGTGCTGATGAGAGTGGAAATTCTGTGTAATAAATAAAACAGACACAGACATACATGTACGTAGAAAACTGTTGAAGAAGTTAAAAAGTGCCAGCTCCATTAACCGTAACCACTAAATCTGATCTAATCAGAGCTCCCAAAGGAGCAGGTTCTCATTTACAAGGTCAGTCCCTATGGATTATGTGAAAATATCCATGTAAGTGTAACTCTCTTGTCAGCATGAGGTATTTTGCTGCTATGTCCTTTATTTTCTTCTTATGTGGTTAAGACTTTCCAGCTTCGATATCTTTTTTCCTTTTGCATAAATAAAAAGTTGGGCAGCTTTTGTTTTATTACGCTGAAAATTTTCCCTTTGCTTCTTGAAAATTCCTCTAATGCATCATGAACAGGATAGTGACGTCGTTGGAAATATGAAAAAAGTTAGATTCTGTTTTTTTTGTGGCTAGTGCTTGCTGCATGTTATTTATATTGGGAGTAGAGTTAACCTCTAACATTGGTATCAGAGTTAACCTCTAACACAATAATAAAGGCTTAATTCTTAATGCATTTCTGATTTAATAAAATAATTTCTAGTTGGTTATACATGTTGGGAGCCCTTTGTCTGTTTCCCCATGTTGTCCAATATATCAAATGTACAACAAATTTTTATGATCTGGTATGTCATGTATAATTTCATGTGTGTTTTTGAAATCTCTCTTTGTTACAGTTCTGAGGAAAGGGAATAGAAGCATAACATAAATGATGGCTTGTATTTTCTATATTTTCATGAGTATTTCTGTTTAAAATGCACATTTCTAGAGAAAACCTAATGTTTTTGCAGTCTCTGCATAATTCATTTTTAACATTGAGATAAGAATGTCCTCTTGTCATCTCTCTCTGCTTCTGCTGAACTAACTTGCATGTACAGTGAGAAACTTTGCTGAGTTAGTGTTCTTAACGGCTTACTTTTGTCCATTTATTAATGGAGTTAGTAATATTGCTACAGTTAGCAAAATGAATCCATAATTGAAAATAAGTTATTCATTAATTATGCCGTGTGTTGCCAAAGGTGCTATAACATGTGGATTGCTGTTTTCTGTTACTGTAGGAGGTATCGAATCCAATTAGGGTTACCTACCGTTGTTCCCCAACTAACCCTTTTGCTCCCACACTATTCAAGGTTTGTCTTGATGGCAGTGAGCGGGTCCTACCATGTGTGTGCTGTACGTTTGTACATGGCCTGTGACACCTCCCAGAGTGCTGCTTCTTCCTCCGCATCTGCCTCCTTTGTTGAAAGTGATGCTGCTCCAAACTTGCTACCATCTTTAATATTTGCTTGGCTGTGATTGGAGTGACTCTGGTAGCCAAATGGGTTCATGCACTGTCTGATGCTTTGCATTTTAAATGAAATACAGTGCTGTGGCACACTGAAAGTATTTCATGAGTTAAAGCATTTTAGATTTTTTGTGCGTGGCCCGATTCAGGGAGCAAAAGTCTTATGTGTGTGTAAACTGCAGGGGCCAGCTTTTGCTGCTGGCAGTGCATGCATGGCAGGCTGAATTCTGGAGGCAGAATATGGTCCCCTCTGCCCAAATTGCATTGTAACACCCTTTTTACCCTTCTCACAAAGGAGCCTTGCTTTTGTTTTCATTTCAGCATTTTCTGAAATGACAGACATGTTCAGATTTATGATCGCGTGCACAGAGATACAGAAAGAAGCATTTTTGTGTTCAATCAGGTTATGGTGGCTGCAGTTCATAAGTGCTAATCTGTCATGATGTGGCCAAATGTCCACAAGTTACAGATCTTCCAGAGGTCCTTGACAGCAATTTTTTGTTCTTTTTTTTTTTTTTTGGTCATGTTTTCTTTAATGTTGCAAACTTCCTGGATGCTTTCATTTACTAAGAGTGCCACTAAAGTGATATGTTAATTTTGGTTTTAAAACACAGACTACTGTAAAATCTGCTGCTCTGATCTGCTCTCACACTATTTCCTCTTTTTCAACGTGTTATGTAGCTTTCTAGTTAAAACTCTAGGAAGCACTCTAAAAAAATCAGTGTTACTAGAACTACGCTCCCCTACACCTCTCCTTGAGGTAGAGGTCTGTCATGAACTGTTCACCAGGGTAGACACATTAATTTTTGATTTTAAGAAATCACTTTGAATGTTATTAAGTAGCGTTTCTACCCTACCCTGTAGGGTTTCTACCCTACTCTGATCCTGATGGGTAGCAATGCCTTTGCTAGACTTTTGCTGCTTCAGTTGAGGCTTATGTCTGCCCTGTAACTATTAGCATGTTTTAGAGTACAATTTGCATAAACTGTAAATAATTCCTACATGAAGTTTAGTGATGCAAGGTATCATTTCAGCAGGATGGAATTGTCTTAGATTTGAAGCACAGATCAATGTGACTGATAAAATAATTCAAAAAATCATACAGCACTTTTATGGCATTTTTTATATATGGGTGCCATATTGAAACTTCCCACAGAAGAGAGAGACAGAGAGACAGAGAAACAGAGAGAGACTCGCAGAGAGAGAGAGAAAGAGGGACAGAGAGAGAGTCAGAGACAGAGAGAGTCAGAGTCAGAGACAGACAGAGACACAGAGAGACAGACAAAGAGACAGAGAGTGACAGAGAGACAGAGACAGAGAGAGACAGACACAGAGACACAGAGAGAGACACAGACACAGACACAGACAGAGACAGAGACAGAGAGAGAGACAGAGGGAGAGCCAGAGAGAGAGACAGAAAGAGACAGAGAGAGAGAGAGAGAGAGAGACAGAGAGAGAGAGAGACAGAGAGAGAGAGAGACAGACAGACAGAGAGAGAGAGAGAGACAGAGAGAGGGAAAGACACAGAGAGACAGAGAGACATAGAGAGACATAGAGTGTGACAGAGAGAGAGACAGAGACAGAGAGAGAGACAGAGACAGATGACTTTTTAGTTAAGCTTTTTGAACAAGTTCCTGAATGAAAGGAATATGTTTTTCAAGCAGGAGCAGAATGAGGGAATTGAGATAGGGCATTTCACTGCTGCCTCTGATGAAGTAATTGTTTCAGTGTTCTTGTCACTCAGAGACACCATGTGAGATACTGAATTCAAACTTGCTAGTGGAGATAAAAGCTGAAATGATGAACAGTGCTGTGAAGCTAGGGCAACACCTGAAAATCCTAGTTTTGGAAAAATACTTGGTTTTCCTCTAAAGTTTTTGTTGTTTATGTCAACAGCTGATCTGCCAAGTATCAAAGTCTCTTGGACATGCATAACCTTCAGAATGATGATATTCAGACATGAATTTCTTGCTTACATGTTTACTCTGAGCAAGCCAAAATTATATAAATTACAAATATTAAACCAAATCCCTGATCAGAATCCATATTCCTCAGGGAAACTAACTTGAATGGAGGCTTGCCAGATTATAGAATTGGGCATTTAACTATAGTGTTGCAGTAGTCACGTGTTTATACTTTAAACTTTTTGTAAATATGAATAGACCACATACATCACGACCAAAAGTGTTTTTCTCCTTTTTGATTTAATCTTTAAATTAATCTCCTTTATTTGCTCTCCCATGTGCAGCTTATAGGAAACCAGTAAATAAGACTGAATAAGTCCAGTTATTGTGGATTTCTTCAGTTATCATCTCTTTCATTTTGTTTTTATATTGTCCTTTCAGTTAATATGCTGGTTATTTTCTTTTTTCTGGAGGCATTTTTGAAAGCACCGACTTCTTTGTTTCCCTTTTCTTTCCTTCTGTTTGGCTTCCAAAGCATATAATAGAAAAAATTTACATGTGGTGACTTTTAAAAATAAACTAAAGTCCTTTGCAAATATGGTGTTAAAAAAAATTGAGTCTTCATAAGAGGCTTTTTCTGAAATGTAAAGTGGCACATAAAACTTTACTGAATTGGGCTTTTATTGTGAGTTCGAATACATTTTGGAGTGTTGTTATCTCTTACCTTGCCTGGTGTTTGTTTCTATCTTTGATCTCTTGCAGCCTTTCTGTGCTGTGTTATTCATGTGAATTCCAACTGCTTGGTATTTAAACTTCAAAGCCATAGTCATTGCCGTTTGACGTTTTTGTATGCTACTTTGCCCTACACAGAGTCTGCATCTGCTTAGCCACTGCATTTTTCTTATTCTCCACAGGTACTCATTCAGAGCGATATAGAAACAGAAGAGACTTCGCTTTGTAATTTGCCTCTGCCCCCTCCTTCAGCATATTCAGGACTGAGCTGTGATGTTGCACAGTCATCTTCTAGCAGAGCCCCAGATGATGTGGAGAAGGATGAGTTTGATTACAGCTGGAGTAAGTTTATCCTTTGTGATAATGTTTGAAATACTCTGTGTTAAAATAGCACTGTAGCAAAAGATACAGGGGGTCCAGTCTGAAGTAATTCATTCTCCAGTGCTTTGTGATTTGGTTGTTAAGTGTTGCTGTCAGCTTTCACTTGTGCTTCGTCAGATGCACATGGTGAAATATAAAACTAATTTGTTCTCCTTCATTGTACTCCAATCTCTGTTTTCCTTTGTGGTCCAGTTCACTGTTTCACTTGTAGGACTACTTGACGAATTTCAGTGTACTCTAGGTAACTGATGGCAGTGATTCATGTGACAGCTTCTGTTACCTGAAGGTGTTACTGGAGGGAAGGTTATTGCTGTTAACGTGTAAAAAGTCTTTTTTTTGTGAGAGAGAAGTTTTAATGTTTTCTGAAGTTAGAAGGAAAACAAGGAACTAGAAAAATAAATCACCTGAGACTTAGCTTAAAAGAAACTGTAATGTACACTCAGAATTTTCTCATCCAGTTTGGAATTATTCTGTCAGATACTGCCCACTGGATCTTTACTATCTAGGTGACTTATGAAACTTTCTGATGTAAATCCAACCTCTACTGCCCTCACTTTTACATTTAGAAAATATTGTGCAGCGCTATGGAAATCTACCGGGGGAGCTACAAATGATTGAGCTCGAAAAAGGAAAGACAGGTCTGGGACTTAGTCTTGCTGGTAACAAAGACCGGTCCAGAATGAGTGTCTTTATAGTGGGAATTGATCCAAATGGAGCAGCTGGCAAAGATGGCAGGTTACAGATTGCAGATGAGTTACTAGAGGTGAGTTCTTTGCAATTTATACTGAAACCCAAACATGCTGACTTAAAATGCACTAAAATATTACATTCTTACTGTGATGTAGATGTTCTTCAGTGGACTTTGAAATCCCCAAGTTACACAAGTTAATGTCACTGTGCTGCCGGACTTTCATTCTGGTGTATGCCAAATAGTTGCAGCTGGGACTATACTATACTATAGTAGTACTAAGTGAAGATATGTGTGTATTTACAGTGGATAAAAATGGGGGATGACAGCAGTTTCTGGGTTATGGAGAAGTATGAAAAGTCAATGCATTGCAGTCCGTAGAAAATATTGAAGTCCTTTAGTCCATCTATCCATGGAGTGCTCCAGACTTTCTAATTACTTCTCTGTCTACTGGAAGTGTGATAATATCACACTATTTTTATGTTGTGAACATATAAAATGGAAATTAAATTTTAGAAATGGGAACAGATCCATTTGTATCATGGACTTTTATCTCATGACACATTGGAGCTGTTTTCTCGCAGCTTTGGGAAGGAACCGAACTACTGAATATGCAGCTAGCATTCCCAAAATGTATATGAGCATAAGGTATATTTTTATTTTACCACAGTTTGGTTGATGATACTTGCGGATGTATTCTGTATAGCTTTTCTCATTCTTTCTGATAGCAGTAGGTCACATTACCCTTGCGGAAATGCTTTGTGTAACTGCAAAACTGTGTGTGCAGGTGTTCGAGGATACACTGCGGAGGTGGTACTGGGAGGAATTGGTGAAACTGAACAAAGCTTGAGGGAGACATTGAGAAAGTAAATTATGTAGCCTGGCAGTTGCCAACTAGGAGAAAAACTAGGGGATGATGGCAATGTAGACATAGTCTCATGAAGGGACCTGTTAATTGCAGAGTCCAGTGTTACCTCCTGGATGGTTCTCTTAAGTCAGCTAAAAACCTTGATGTTGCAGATGCTGAGTGTCGTCCCAACACATTGAAATACATCTGGCTGAGTCTGGTCTCATGATTCTTTGCTTACTATCCATGCTGTAGACCTGCAAACTGCTGCTAAGAGATTGTCTCAGGCTCTTCTGAGAGGAGACATCTGAGCTTGCTTCTTCCCAAGTAGATGTCCATCATCTGTGACAGGCCATGGCTTGTACCCCTGCTGGCAGCCTGACCATGGTTCTTCATGAGCCCATGGCAAACAGTGGAAACAGTCCTGCATCTGCATTACCTCCAGTGAAAATGATGGGGCTCAGTATCCCTGGGACCATGCCTGGTGGACACAGCCTACATGGGAACTTGTTATGCTCAACATTCAGTCCAGTGTCTTGTGTCCGTTGCTCACTGTTCAGTTTCTCTGCTTCTATTAGTACTACCTCGGTGTGTGTTGCATTATATTCCCTTTGTGTAGGTCCAAGCTGTCCTTTTCCAGTCATTTCCTCTTCCTTAGAGTGGACTTCTGCACTGCAGTTTTCCATTTCCTAAAAAAAATGCAACTAATGAAATGTGAGTGAGTAATCAGTTATTCTGCAAATTCAGGCTGATACCTTCAGCTATATTGTAATCATAGGAGCTTCAAGGGGTTTCACTGAGTCTAGTCTGCCAAATGAAGATAATGATTATCAGGTCAAATCTTCAGATTGTAAATGCACTGGTGTTCAGGCTCCTGTGTATAAAATGCCTGTCTCAGAGCTTAGACTCAATAAATAATAGCAATCTCATTGCTGGATATAAGTGATTCATTTATTTGTTATGGTTAGAATTTCCCATGGTCTTGCTTTGTCACAACATCAATGGCAAGTGGAAATAGATGATGTGCTAGATCAACCCAATATAAGTCAGAGAATGACATCTTTAGCAATATGACAGTGTTAGTCTGAAATCAAACTGTAAGGATTTTTTTTTTTTTTTTTACTGGAAGATCAGAGTGAACGCACGACACAACACACTTATTTTAATACATTTTCTGCTTCAGCCAGTAGTGTGGGGTAATGGATTTTTTTTAAGGCTTAAAAGTTAGATAAGTATTAGGAAATGAAAATATTTTGAGACATAATTGCTACCTTGCTTTGTATAGATAAATGGGCAAATGCTCTATGGAAGGACTCATCAGAATGCTTCCTCAATAATCAAATGTGCACCATCTAAAGTAAAAATAATCTTTGTCAGGTAAGTTCTTGTTAAAGGTTTGGCTAAAAGGATTTACTTTTATTCTCACAGAATCACAGAACATTAGGGATTG